AATAGATGTTACCTGGAAAAGATTAAAATGCCAAATTCAGGAGAATCATTACCTCTGATGAAGACAAGACAGGAATTAGATTGGGGACATGACAAATTCATGGTATATGTATTGTTTAATTGTTAAGTAAAATCTGAAACAAATATGATAAAGGTCAACAGAAAGCATATGAGTACTTGTTAGATTATTCTCTATAACTTCCTGTATATTTGTAGTATTTCACAATTTAAAGGTTTGAGGGCTGGCCAGTTAGCTCAGTTGGTAAGAGCACGGTGTTGGTAACACCCAGGTCAAGGGTTCGGATCCCCTTACCGGCCAGCCACCAAAAGAAAAAAAAAAAAAGTTTGAAGAATGTTAATGAGTGCATGAATCTGTGGATACATGCTGTGGAATACAATCTGAGGTTTTGATGAACAACTGGCATTATGTCAAATGAACTTCTGGAGTAACCACCGCTATAAAATATGTAAATTTAATTATTGAAATTATTTTATGACTGCAAATCACGGTATCCAGAAACTAGAAAATCTATCAAACAGCCAGGCTAGCTCCTCTAACAGGGAAAGATGCAGTTTCATGGGCTGGCCAGTTGTTTAGTGGTTAGAGCACAGACTTCATGAACACCATGGTCATGGGTTTGGATCCTGGATCCCGTACCCGCCAGCCACCAGGGAAAAAAAAAAAAGATGCAGTTCCTGACACTGGGCTGCATGAGGCACCAAAGGGCAATGCCCCCTGCCCCCCCACACACACACACATGGGGGGCCCAATCCAACACTTCTCATCTGGAAAACCTAAGAGCTAAGGAGTTTTCAAATCCTGTTTCTTCAAGAAATGAAAAAAAAAATCTCTCACCAAGTTTATTTGCCATTTCCCCAAGATGAGTTCTAAACTCAATTCCCCAAGGTTTGGTTACAAAGGGCAGGTGTGAATGTCATGATCTGCAGTGGGTGCCCCGGTCTTGTGGTCCCTGGCCACCCAACTGCTGGAAGCCCGCCCCTGAAGAGCATGTTCAAGCAAGGAGGGAGAAAATCAGGTGACTTCTGGGTGGTGCTGCTGTTAATGATTATGAACGGAATGTTTTCATGGGTGCACTGAAGAGTACACCATTTTTTCTGCCTAAGGCATCATTCAGGAGAGCAACAATTCCAAATACCCATTGCCCTTCTGCAAAAGGTCAGTTCCGTTACAAAGTGGATCTTCCTCATCTTGGCCCCACAAAAGTACCCAAAGTCTGTCTCACTAATATTGAACAGGCTAAGTGGCAAGAAAAAGCAGCAACAGGTACTTAATATCAATCTACTATTTTACCTGGTTTTACAAACCAGTAAGTCACAAACTAATAATTAGGAAAGAAAGAGTACACAGCCTGCTTCTGGTTTGTGTCTTCCTTGATTTTTTGATGTATTAAAGAAGAAGAATATTTTTTATGTGAATCTGAGGTGGCTACAGAATCCAAACATAACTTGAAAGAATCTTAACTAAATGCAATGTTAAAGCGTCTCCTTGGGCTGGCTCTTTTTTATTACTTTTTTTGTTTTGTTTCTGATATCAAAAGCCTAACAAAAGCAAATGTGCTCATAATGACTTTATTTTATCCTTCAAAGTCAAAATGAAAACCATACAATTAATTCAGAAGCTGTAAGTCTAACATTAACATGCGGAAAAAATGTATTCCACCATTACTCTGAAAGCATAGTACTCTTAATATTTTTGTTCAAGAATATCATAAAGATGGAAGTTTAAAAAATTAAAACAAGTCATAAAAAACGCTAACTTGGATAAAAGAAGTGTTCCCAGTTTATGAGAGTACTATATGCACGGAAAAATAATTTCCAAACAATTGAAAATCAGTCATTGCAAAAACAATTTCAGAAAGCATATAAAAAAGGTCATATGAAAAGGCATACAAAGATCATTCTATCAATTGTTTTCTGAATTAAATTTTGATTCTTGACTTTAATAATCCACTCCTACTTTGTTTCTTATTGGTTTGTTTGCTTATATGCATTTTACTGTTAATTAACAAACATCCATGCCCTCTCTACATGTTCAAAATGACTATTATACGATCATTTAAAAAATGATTTTACTGCCACATTTAATGTTAAATAGTATATTACAGACATTTAAAAAGTACTAGGGGCTGGCCAGTTAGCTCAGTTGGTTACAGCATGGTGCTGATAACCCGAGGTCCAGGGTTCAATTCCTGTACCGGCCAGCTGCAAAAAAAATGAAAAATAAAAAGTATTAGGAACTTTTGCTGTGTGAACCATCAAAAAGCACTTAGAGTAAAATACAACTCCTGTGTTCAAGGAAAGGAAAATATTTCAAATCAATCCTTCTCAGACATTTATACCAAGCCCCCAAACTTATTACTTCCTAAACGGCCACCCCAAATCTTCTTCCTGAGGTTTGTAAACTCTGTTCAAGGCCCGTGTGGTTGTTTTCAGGTCCTTGTTTCCTTGAAAATACACAGAGATGATTGATTCCATTATCTTTCTACTGATAAAAGTGGAACCTCACTCAGCTATTGTTATTGCTGAGAAAAACACAACAAGCCCTGCAGCATTAAAACAAGTTAAAACCGCAAACTTACAAGTTACAAGTAGTATTTTCTTATAATGGGCCTCAAGTAAGTGCTGGCCTTTGGTCAAGGAAAGTTTCTTGTGCTTTAATTACACAAGGCAGAATTTAACTATAGAAGCTGTGATAAAAGCCGACAAACTCACCCTGCATTTGGTTTCGGTACTGGCAGTTTGGGACGTTTTTCACAGATAGTAATTCAAGAGAAAACACTGTTTTATCAAAACACAATGGTACAGAATATGAAAGGAAAATATGCAAGGACCAAAAGAGAGGAATAAAAGCAAGCATCTGCTCCAACTGCCCAGCCCAGGCACACGCGTGCAAACAGCGTTCACAAGGAAGACGAAGGTCCCGGGACTCTGAGCAATTCACTAGGCGTCTCCCCATGTACTCTGACTTTAAAGGAACACATAAAATACAGGCCCCAGTGATCCACTGTAACATATTTATAACAGTTAGTTCTCAAATTAAACCATTCTGAGTACCCACATTTAATTAGTAGTGGGTGTTTTCAATATTTGAGCTACTCTGATGGACCAAGGACTAATACCACATTGTTTCCCTTTACTAAACGCTTTGCTTTCCCACATTAAATTATTAACCAGGAAATGGAAAGTATGAAGGCTAAATCTATTTGGTATGTGGGAAAGCTGGACTAGGAGGCAGCAGTTGTGCAGAAGCAAGAAGGCTGCCTTGACCTGGCCGTGGGGGTGCCCATTTACCAGCCTCTCGGCAGCACAGTGAGGGGAGTGGGGCAAAAGTGGCCAGGACTGTGGTCCCAACCCTCCCGTCCCACCACTCCCGAGGCAGCAGCTGCCCCCCTCCCCTGCCCTGCACCCATCTGCTTAGGGTTGGACTCAGGTGTTAAAAAAGTAAGGATTTAAGGTAAACCCTTAAAATACACACACACACACACACACACACAGTGGTGATTTTATAATTAAAGCTACACAGGACTGACAAGCTCAGGCTGGCAGTACACAGTCTATACGGCTTCTAGGAAAATTAAATAATGAAAAAAATTCCTCACATTATTCCTCAATCTAAACATCAAGAAGTCACTAGAAGATTCCACTGGCTGCTCTGATAATGTAGTGGGTAAGCATGTGTTTCTTAATGTCCAGACCAAGGAGCTATCCTCTGTGATCCAAACCCTGTGGAACGAAGATACGTAAGGCCAACCCCTCCCCTGTACTCAACACACACACATATAATTTTTATGTATCGCCCCTCCTAAATCCTTAAATTGGGGTGTTAGACAATCATGAGTGCTTTCTTCCAGGAAGATCAGTGCTTTTAAAGTAAATGTAACATTTCATAGCTACTTAGCTTCTTTGATGCTTTTCTAGAAAAGCTGGTAGTTCTATCTCTATATGATCAGGTGAAGCAACCGTTGTCAGTTTTCCAACTTCACATATCAATTTCAGGCTTAATCATTTAAATAACTGAAACTGATCATTTTTTCTTAATATTCATTTATTGTAAATACTTTTCTGGAAGCCAATGCCAATTCTGCATGAATTTTTCACAATAGTAACAGAATATTTTATTATTAATAAATAAATCGGGAGGCAGTTTTAATATAACCTTTACAGGAAAATAAGTAAACCCCAATGACTTGACTGAGGCACAAAATGGAATCACCATATCATTCATGAAAGACTATCATGTTTGGCTGCTATTTTCCTGCACATAAATAAAAACACAAGTACGTAAGTGCCCCTAGAAACCTTCTGGTTGCATCTTAAATTATTTTCTTTTCACTTTTTCTGCTAATCAGTTAGACATATCTATCAATGCTCTAAAAAAACACACAGGCATAGTACCATTTCATCCATAGCAAGTGATCTTCAGATTGAACGTGTTAGGAAATGTTAACATAGCTTTGATTTGCGCTTTAATGTCACAAGGTTAAGATGAAAAACTTCACACTGTGATCCTAAATTTTATTTACTAAGTTACAGGACTGGTCTGGTAATCTGTACAGTTACACATTATGGAATTAACCTTTCCTTCACTCTCCTTCCCCGTTAGACATTTATTCCAAAAATCATGCAAGAGGTTCCCCCAACGGAGGATTATTTCCTGGCATGAGGAGTGCTGGAGAATAAAGAGCAATTTTAAGTAAATGCTTCTGGAAACACTGAATTTACAAAATAACAGAATGAATCTGGCCTTATTTCTGTTCCGGGCCCAGGACATTAGGGATGGGCGGCGCTCAGAGGTATTGTCACCAGCCAAGTACAAACGTGAAACAGGCAGACAAGAATGCATGGAATCTATTCTGCTGTTTTGTGGGGGTCATGAGAATCAAGAAAGAGCTGCAGAGGCTGTGGGCATGCTGCCGGCCGTCGTTCAGGAAAGGGAAGTCGGAGACCAGCATGTCCCACAGGGACAGACACGGCCCTTACCACGTCTCCTGGCTTGACAGAGACGGCCCCCACCACTCCAGGCATCGGGGAACGCAGAATGCTGCTTGTGTCCTCAGCCACTTTTTCCAACATAAATTTGTTCAATTCTGCGGCAAGTTTGGTTAAGATATGTACTTTGTACTTGAGGGAAAAACAAAAACAAAAACAAATTACTTTTTCCTCAAGAGTAGAGTTCATTCAAAATCAGCTTTTAGCTTTCAAACTGAAGTTATGATAACATCCTTAAAGTCAAATGGTTTTTAATTATGGTACACAACATCAAAATAAAATAGCTTGTTTCTGGCATTTATTGTGTACCAGCTATTTAAGAAATTTCTCGAAATAAGAACTACTCCAGTTATTAATTAGTAATAAATAATTATTATCCTGTATTCTTAAGAAAAGCATCTCAAAACTTTATAAACAACAGTGAGAATTTTACTTGTATTCCCTTCCTGCTTGCAAACTTATCCCAATGAAAACAAGTCCCCAGAGCTGGGTCAGCCACGGGGATAAAGGCGGTGACACTGTGAACGCAAGCCAGCAGATGGCAGCAGACTGCTGTCGCAAACTCCCCACAACCCCCCTGAGAGCTGCTGCTCTGTGTATCAATAAGTTAAGACAAAGGGTTTCAGTGTTCATTTTGGGCAAAACAATATTTTAAATTCAAATCTTTTTCAGTGACAAAAAATGTTATATTCATGATTGAAAAAGTCAGCTTTTCTTTTTAGGCACAGCATTACGTAGTCTTTCCAATGTAACAGAACTGTCAGGATAAAGATAAAATATAACAAGAGTACCTTCTTCACTGAGAGACAATAACCCCAAGATTTTAAAAACATTGAGAGAAAACAATATGCACAGCCAAGTATTCTCATGGCACCTTTTGCAGGTGGCTCTCAAACAGCTAGGGGCACCTTAAAGGCAGTTCAGGCAAACATCATTTCTCATAAAGAACATTCCTACCTCACAGGAAAAATCCTAGATCTCTGTGAATAAATATATGAGCCACAGTTTGGTCCATCCAAACAGAAACAAGATAAAATGATTTGAGGAAATGTTACTAGGTGAAACTGGAGCCACCACTTGAAGATTTCTGGATTCCTACCAGATCAAAGTTCTATTGAGTAAGACAGAAGCGGCATCAAGGCAGCACCATTTTGTTTTAAAAGGCTGCTGTAACTCAAAGCCTCCTGTGGGCATCATGATGGCAGGGATGCAAAAACAAAACAGAATTCACCCTTTGATTGTGTACAGGAATGGCGGAAGTCCACAAGTGTGTTCTTTCCAGGACCTGTTTAAAAGGGTTGGGAGGAGGACCCCAATGAAGAGCTTTGATGGCCTAAGTTCCAAGTAGATTTCTGACACCGAGACAGGTTGAATAATAACATCTTTTGCATGTTTCTTTACTCCTGAGTGTGTGTTTTGCAATCAAGACATACAAGTGTCTGCCAGTTTCTGAAGGATATGATCCTTAAGTGAAATTACAGTGCAAATAAAAGCTTTTTGCTCCTATTAAAATTCATCTGAGTCATAAGTGGCAAGGGAAAAAAGCAAGGAGAGTGCATACTGCTGTCAGTCTAATAAACATTCCGGGCAGAGGGACGACTTATCAACAATGAATCGCACCTCAAAGTCCTTCATTAAATCTATGGGGGTGTGGGAGATGGAGGGACAGGGGAGAATATAATTGGACCAAATTGCACAGTTTGGGTATCTACGCTCTCTGTCTGCCTTGGAAAAGAAAACCCAACCTCACTAGAGGAAACAGAGTCAACAAAAAAGTTACTTTTATAGCTGGCATCACAATGGGATGCTGCTTCTATGTGATTGATCAACACTGTGCTTAGTTGTTTAGTTTTCAGGGTAGCTTACAGATCTGGTTTTTTTTTTTTTTTTTTTTCTTGTTTTTTCGCACAAAACGTGAACTCTAAATTCAGGGAAAGTATCTTTACACATTTCAGAGTATATGATATACCACATATTTCACCAAAGTGGATACACCAAAAAACAAATTTTAGCTACATCACAAATATGCCTTAATATAAATAAAGTGCTAAGTTTGTACTTAGTTCCATTTCTCCCCAGAAATTACAAGATCCTGACTAAAACTGGATCCTTTTACTATTTTTATAATTTTCATATCTTTTGGATTCCTTTCTCTGTAGGACTCCTGCTTTGCTTGGAAAGAGATGTAAAAGAGTCACAAAACTCAATGCCTTTAGATGCAGTCTTTGTTATTGATGAGATGTTCCTTTTCCTTTTGTATTTGTTTATTGTTCTTAAATCTGTTTGGGGGATAAGTGGCTTATTGTAATCACAAGTAAAAAATAACAACGGAGTAAACTCCTCAGGAGAGGCCTTGTTGCAAATAGTTAGCTTAGGAATGACCTTTCTGAATATAAAAAGAGGACGCACAGAGAAGGTTCTCTTTTTAAGATTACCTTTGATGTTGTCCCGACCCATGAGTGTACCCACACAACACGCCTTCTTAAAACAACCTCCTGGCTCGCCCGTGTGCAGTGCGTGGGGGCGCGTGCCGGGATGGGGCCCGAGCGGGGCGCAGCATATGGGCCCATCAGAATGAATGGCCTGGTGAGAACCATAAAAGCTTTTTCATGCCCCAGAAACAGTCATTTAAAAATGCACACCAGCACTTTCCGAGCTTATGATGAAAACTGCTATTTATTGGTTTCTCTGGATTCTTCAGGGACACAGAGCAGCCAACTAGCTGAGAGATCTCAGGAAAGTCCCCGTACAAAGACTATAGGGTACAAGTTTGATTTTATGACGGGCATTTAAATATTCCTCATGGGTTGTGCATAACTTCCCTGGAGTGTTCTGGTTTTAATTTTGTTGTTGTTGTTTTCAAGCAAAGTTGATGTTTTCAGGATGGGAATCCAAGACTTGAAAGGCTAGTTGACAGGACGGAGAAGTGGGATGCAGAGGTTTTCATCCTGCTGGGGTCAGGAGAATCCTGAGGGAGGAGAAGTGCTCATCAGTGGAGCTGGGCAGCGCTGCAGCCGCAAGTTGATTAGCTGCAGGTTCATCAGCAGATGGAACTCCACTCTGCTGGCTTGAGGGAGGTGCTCTCCAAACCACAGCCAAATTAATAAACACTTCTTGAAAAACACCTCAGAACAGGGAACAGGTGCTCTCTGGGCTTGGCCTATTCGGGATCCTCAATACATACATGAAGATAAATGGGAGGGAATAATAACCCAATAATGGAAAAGTGACCCCAGCTCCAGGTCTCTAAGCAAATTAATTTTATAGCGTCTACCATGTGAAACCATGTCTAACAAGAAAATTTCTCCCAAAAGCTTAAAAGAAAGAAAGAAAAGGAATCACAGTAGACATGGAAGGATCAGGAAGAAAACCACAAGAGATGGACAATTAAAATGAACTCAATAGGATTGTTTTTTAAATTAACACACAGCTCTTACATGGCACCTGACAAAAGGGAGAAGGCTGAGGGGAGAGTGCAGTTGTTGTTGGGGGAGAAGGCGGCAGTCAGTCACAGTTTGGGAGGGACAGATGCTTTTTAACTGGATGTTACAGCCTGCCCACTTGTGTTCGAGCGTGCACAGAACACAGCGCCCAAGACAGTAAAGAATCCCTCACTATGAGCTACATTGCACTCAGATGGGCACACAAATTGCCATCCTGCTGGTTTCTGTATTCTGTAGTATGTGCACCTTCTTACAGAGTTTAAATCCACGTGCTTCTTTCCAAGGCCTCTAGATGTACCAGCGATTGTACAGATCCACATGCTACCATGTTGTATGATTCAGAGGTCTGTGGCAGCTCCCAAGGTGAGGACATCCAGTTTGCTTTACATATTTCTTCACTTGTGATTTCAGAGCCTCTAGTGTCCTCTTAAATTGGGCTCAGCTCCAGTTTCCATTTGTAAGTCATTCTTCCAATAACAATTTGGATACGTACAGCTGATCAACTACTGTTTTTTCATGTCAACTGTTGGCCATTTCAGTCAACACCAGGTCAAGGGCAGATGATGAAACTATACTGTAAATTATTTTACATCAATTATCTTAACATCCTGAAGCACTGGCCTTGTACTGTACATCCACCCCTTGCCAAGTATGTTGGCAGATCCATTTCTTAAAGATAAGGATCTCTTCCTATTCAAGGTTTTATACCTCTGGCCCCAAGGGTCTTAAACATTAAGCTGTGCCTTCATTTGTGTAGCAGTGAGAGCTAACACTCAAATATTCCCCTAAAGGTCTCAGAGCTGGAGAAGAATCGTCAATGTTTTTAAAGTGACAGAAATGACAAGCTGTAAAAAAAAAAAAAATGCATCTTTAAAAACATCAGGGTGTCAGAAAGTAGAGAAAAACATTGAATATAAATTAAAACAGAATTGTAATTCAACCAAGTTTTCCTTTCCTAAATTCTTTGTGGGATACACAATTAACCCTTGAGGAAAAATATAACATGGTTCAAAGCCATGCAAAATACATTCCCCTCTACTTCAGCACAGGGCTCAACAGCCCAACTCCTTAAAACAACAAACCAACAAAATTCTCCAAGAAACGGTACTAAAAACATACAGAATTGAAGCCTGTGGCTGTCCTCTTGGAGACGACCTGGGCAAAGAAGGTGAACCGAACAGATAGCAGTTGCAGTGCTGGGCAAGCCACAGCCCCCACAGCTGCAGTCGCCAGAGTGGCCTGTTAGCATAATGCTGTGACAACTCCATCAGCGCAGTCTCAAGGTAGCTGTCAATCAGGATGCATCATTTAATCCAACAGCACTCAGAGGACTTTTTCCTACAACCCACATGACAGCATATCTACAGCTCTATTTATATCAGCGCCCAGTTGTGTTTACAATGCTGTCGTAATTAGAAAAGATGCAACAGGCAGCAATATTATTGAGATTTCCATTTTGCAGTATTGCCCTGTAAAGTGTGATCTTGCTTCACAGAGTCATGCTAAATGACAAAAGGCTATTTTCCTCAATCTCCCAGCTCAGACAGCACTTCATTTGCAGCTATCTATAATTAGATTAATGGTGTGGAGCAGTACAAAGCAGGCCCACTTCACATCAGATAGCATATGAATTAGGACAAACACTTATTTCAATTCCAGGCAGAGAAAGCAATGACTGGGGTATTTAGC